GTTATTTTCATAGGCTCGTCCCGATTTGTTAGTTGCCAAAATAAAGATTCTTGATTCTTGAATAGGTTCTTTTTGCATGACCCCAACATAGTTAGGGAGTTAGCTAAAGCTAGGTCCTTGAACATCAGCATGTATTTGAATCATGGGTTCACTAAGACAAAAATGATATTGTCCAAGCAGAGTCAGGTTAGGCTCTTATGGACTTAAAAGCGAGCGCACAGAGCAAGTGGACGCAGAAGCCATGACGCTTAGCTAAACGGGGTTAAAACAGCCAGTAAGTTACAGCAACACATCTATAACAAAGCATCTGGTTTTTCTAGGCTTAATATATCTACAGCTAACAGCTTTGCTCTGTCCATCATTCCTGCTGTGAGAAGGAACTACCAACTCAGACAATAATGGCCGTTTCTCAATTCACAAGAACACAAGTACAGAAAGTATGTTCTTGAGAAGAACACAGTAATGTCTGGACTTGGGGAGACCGGGAGCACGCAGCGTAAATCTGGGTCAATTGGAACGGAAACGTACTTGTGACATCATCACATTTAAAGCTAGTCTGGATCTGCATTCCACCTCCTGTTATTAATAGTCTCTAGATAATAATAAATTATTACTTTTTTTCATTTATTGGGCGAATAGTAATTAACACATACAGATAAACACAAATTAAATGAACATTTTGCCGAATAAAACAACAGACTTTCTATCAGAGCCAGCCGTACTTCACACTATGCTGAGAGAGGGCTGCTGCAGACAGGCTAAGATTAGCCCTGGGTGCGGTTAGCCTCGGAGCTCCGCTGGTTGCCATGGTCCTCTCAACCTTAAATTACACACTAAATCCGTAAAAGGGCCATATAGTGACGCTTAGATGTATAATGTTCTCGCCTCAAATGATCTTAAAACGTACTTTCAAAGAACAACAGAGACATAAAAGTGAACTTTTAACTTAAAACTCAGCGCGCTATAAGCGCTAACCTGGAAGGCACTGCTGCCGCAGTGCATGCTGGGACAGCTGTCAATCTCAAGAATGTACAAGTCTGTTTTGATGCATGCTGGGTATATAGGGAGGGGCGAGAACATCCGGGGACTGTCCGTTCTGGATTGTATTGTTGTGAATTGGAACAGTACTAGAGCTGAGGCTAATGGCATTTCACGAGCACATGAGAACTCACAAGTACACATACTGAGAAACAGCCAAAGTGTTCCAACAAATTCTTCTTCATATTAGCCAATGCTATTGGCTATTAGCCACATTAGCAGTTATTAGCATAATTCATACATAATGTTATTGCTTGTTTTGTAGTGATGTATATTCAAGAGAGGCTTGATCAAGGGGTATTAGTCAAACAGAAAACAAAAGTCAACAATAGTAGGTGTGGGAACCACTGACTGATTAATTATTAACCTGTATGTCCATGAGCTTGTTTATATCTGGGATTTTAGATGCAGGCCAATCAATATCCATTAATCCATTAAAGAAATCTATTTAATCAGGCTCTTAGCAGAAATTCAGATGCTTGGGAACTTTGTAATGACTACTGTGGGTTAATACACCCACCATTTAGTTTAACATTTAGTTTAATCTGCTTGTTGCTTTGGCATCCTTCAACTTGGACTGTGAAAAAAAAAAACTGTGAAAGGAAAAACAAGATTTGTTGGATTGTAAACTGAAAGTTTGTTATCTTGTTTAGCACTTCCACAGTAAATACTATTATTTAATAGAAAGCACAACACAATAGCAAATGGAGAACTCTGAATGCTAGCAAAACAAGACCTGAAGAGACCAAATAACTTTCTGGGCATTTAGAGAGTCCAAGTACAAAGGGTGTTTTTTTGTTGTTTTTTTCACGATGTGTCCCCTAAAGTTCAGCACATGACATCCCACGCTCTCTCTCTACCATTACAGCCCGATGAGTCCAGATGAAAACGATCCAGACGTTGCTTTCCAAAGGGAAGGATTTGGACGACAGAGCATGTCGGAGAAACGCACCAAGCAGTTCGGAGATGCCGCTCAGCTGGAGATCATCAAGACACGCAAGTCCAAAAGCATGGATCTAGGTACCAACTTCCATCTGTCCTCCAATGTTTGGTGTTATTTATTTTAAAGCTGCAACATTTTTATGAAGCATAAAGCCTCACCTGCTCTCAGTGATTCCCTTCAGTTCGGAAGCAGAATTATTTCCTCGGTTTTCTACTTTATCACTTGTGGAAAACAAACATATGTCCCTTTTTTATCTGAAACTGATGTCAGACTTTTGGCATCTAATAGCACAACTACCCACTACAGAAAAACCTCATTTCAATGCGGCTACATGTCGCATGATACAATGTTCTTTGGAAAGAATGCTGAAAAATTTTGCATCTAATTATCTTGTTATATTGTAAATGCACCTAGAAAAAAAAGGTTAACCCTAAAAGATGTGCCACCTTGACCACATTTCCTGCACGCTCCCCATTGTTTCAGACTCGAATATATTTCTCTCCCTTTTCTCTGTCTTGTTAAAAAAAGAAAACAGACTTCATCTCTCACCAAAGTCAAGAACTTCACTGTTGATTCACCTTGAAATGTCTTCAAACAGACGCTGATTGCTTTGGCTGTAACAGGCTCTTTCCTCGCACTCTCTCTGTAATCATATCTAATCTTCTCGACCAGATTGCCGCCGTGTTCATATCTCAACAAGTCTGATTGCTATTCTAGAACTGTATTTTCACCTCTTCCTCGTCCCGCATGGCGTCCGATCCTGATTGAGATGAAGCCCTTTGTGATGTTTGTTGCACGACCTGGACGTTGCATGCAGAATGTCACGAGCACCTAACCTAACCCCAGATGTTTGTATCCCTCCTGTCTTCCTCTCCTTCCTTTAACAGTAGCCGATGAGATTAACCTTACACCTCGTCCTGACACCGACACAGGTAAGGACCGGTGCACCTCTGATCACTTGCTCTCCTTCACCTCCTTCTACTTCACGTCTTGTGATAAAGGTGCATAAATCTATTGTAAAATTACCAAATTAGAGCTAAACTTGCAGGGATCCTGTACCCGGATTAATCCTACAGTGCAAAATATAAAATAACAAGCAAACTTTTCTAGAAAGATTACAGAATGGATGAAAGATTCAAAAATAAAAAGTTCAACAAAAGTAGCAAAACAAACGAGTCGCTGCCATCAGTGAAGTTTGATAAAATCTGAAAAAACAAAACATTTGTAGTAAATAATTTAGGATCAAAACATATGTTAAATATTTATATATGATTATAATCTGGGGAAAACTGGAAAAGGAATATTTTTGTCCCTGATTTAACGGTGAACTGATCTTGTCAATTAATTCTACCATTTATTTCAGCTAAATTAACTTTATATAGGAAAATATATTCTAATCAGTAATGAATAAGGAAGTATATTCTTCTTAAGAACAATACAAATAACAATTGATATAATAATTTTTTTCTGTGCTAAATAATATAAATAAGCTTTTTTTTTATTATCACAAATTTTTATTTTATTGTACCGTTTTGTAGGTAGATGAGAGTAGTTGATTTATATATATATATATATTAGGGGTGGAACGGTTCACAAAATCCACAGTTTGGTTCGATTCACGGTTTCGTGGTCACAGTTTTCGGTTCGCTTCGGTTCTGTATATGTTGATTGTTACACCGAAATCCCATAAAAATTTATGAAATTAATGAAAAAATCCCCCAAAAAATAATGGATTGTAATTATTTTAAATGATCC